AGGCATGAAGTCACCGACAGCGTTCGCGCCAAGCAGCAGCGTCAAGCGATGTTTTGCCGCTTAAAACCCGGCGCTCTTTTCTCCTGCTTGGAGATATAGGTCCTCTCAGGTATCCTCTTTCAAGAGACCAGTCTCATCCACACTGAAGACTTGCTTCGATGAGTATCCTCCTTCCTGGATAATCCGTTTGAATTCTGGCGGGAATGTCTCGGCAGCAACCGTATCTGACCTGGTGGCTTCACCAGTCATCTTAATATTGTGGAAGTTACACCTGTGCTTAAATCGCTGAGACCAGCCTCGGCTGGCCGTAAAGGTCTCTTCCTTCGATCCTTCACCCTCTTCTGCCTTTATGTCGTCAAACAAGGATCTGGCCTTATGCTGGATAACCATAAGGCTCACAGGTGCATTGCATTGATTCTGGTCCTCCATCCACATAGCCAGTATCTTTTCCAGTTTTTCTAACACAGTGCTTCTAGTACTAATTGTCTTCGATGCACACAGAGAAGAACCACTTCCAACACTAACCTTAATCTTGTCAGCATTGGTCCGGATAGTACACACCGTTGTGGGGGTTAGCCCAAGCACAGCGGCTACGTCCACAACACGTTCCCCTTTTTCAAGTCGGGTTAATACATCCATTTTCGTAGCAAGGGTAATGGTCTTAGGTTGCCTCTTCACTACACTAGCATCAGTAGCACTTGATGGGTGCTTGGAAGCCATTTCGAATGGTTGGAGTACAGCAAAGCCACTTAAGCACACACAAATGATGTGAAGTCGTAACAGAGATTGGCTTGGAGTCGCTTGGGGACGATGTGACATCCGGCAAGTGAGGGCAGAACGTCTAGCCGAGAGAACGTAGCGCGGCCAGACAGGAGCCTGTGATGTGCCGTAGAAAGTAGTCCGTGACGACGCAAAACGACGTAGTATAGGATCACTGGGACATTAAACAAATTTTTGGTCTCTAAAGTTTAGCGACGTAGTACCGAAACAATGTTAAGCGGGACGACGTTATACGAGGACTTACTGTATTGGAGGACACATTACTCTCATTATTCGAGGCTTTAATGTATAAGAGAAATACATATCTTGTAGTCTAATTTGAAAATGGTGATGGGCCCAGTGATAAACAAATTATATAAACCATGCATTTACAGTGATCCCTCGGTTAACAAAATTTCGGTTAAGAAACTGCCTTCCATAAGAATCTTCAATTCGGTTAACGAACAAAAATTCGGTTAACGAATGTCTTACGAACCGACCTCAACATGTTTTCGCTTGCACTGGCCGGGCAACCAGCTTTAGTATCAGTCCACCAATACATTAATCGGTTCTAGGGATTAAATTCCTTACTATTTTAGTAAATATCAAGAAGTTTAAACTATTCAATAATTTTAAAAGTTTAATATTCAATTTTTTAGTCATTTTAACAATTATTGAACATAATTGAAGGTAAAGTGACTACAGTCGACCCTCGTTAATTTGGACTAATAGGGGGAGAAGGGTGTCCGTTTTAGCCGATTGTCCGAATTAACCGATTTAGGGGTTAATATTGCATTATATTTCAAAGTCATTGTTTTCGTCACGATTTTATCCCACTTTCCACTGTCATACGTACGTAATTTCAGCAAAAATATTACATTTCCGTGAATGTATTATATCAAGCACAGTATGAATAGAATATCATTGTAATATAACAGTATTTTAACCGAAAACTAGTAAAAAAACGAATAACATCTCAAGAACATTGGAAGCTTAGGTAAAGTCTTTTGTTTTTGTCATGTATTTTATCCTATTTTACATTGAAATACATCACGTTTCAGCAAAACTACTATTTATTTCCGAGAATATATTCATTCAGGCACAGTTTAGGTAAAATATACATGTGATGTAACAGTTTTTTAACTGATAACGATTCGAAAAACACGTACCCTCTAGCCCTGTTCAAGGAGAGGACTGGGAGAAGCTGTTTGGTGCTGCAGATGATGACAAGGAAAATGATTTGGATGGATTTTAATGAAAATATTCAGAAATATGCAATTGTAGTATTTATTCAAGTCAATTAGGATAGAATATTATTGTAATACAACAGTTTTTTAACTGAAAACCAATCGAAAAGCGATTATGGTAACATCTTTTGAACGAAAGAAAGCGAAAATCATTGTTTTCATCACGATTTTATCCCACTTTCCACTGTAATACATACGTCATTTCAGCAAAAATATTACATTTCCGTGAATGCATTATATCAAGCACAGTATGAATAGAATACCATTGTAATATAAGAGTATTTTAACCAAAAACTATTAAAAAAACTAGTAACTTCTCTTGAACATCGGAAGGTTAGGTAAAATCTTTTGTTTTCATCATGTATTTTATCCTATTTTACTTTAAAATACATCACGTTTAAGCAAAACTACTATTTATTTCCGAGAATATATTCATTCAGGCACAGTTAAGGTAAAATATACATTTGATGTAACAGTTTTTTAACTGAAAACGATTCGAAAAACACGTGTACCGTCTAGCTGATACTCAACAGCTGGTGGTACGTCATGCCTCGTTGTAAACAATAGGAGGTTGAAGTAGATTACCAGGTATTATATTAAGTGTGAAATATCAAAAAGGTTTTTATTACCGGTATTTTTTGTAGATCAATGAGAACTGTGATACCGCATATGATATGATAAGTTAGTCTGTGCTAAAAACTTCAACATAGACTACTGAAAGCACGTTGTAAGGTAATTTGGCCTATTGTAAGTTGGGTGCTTTGAAGCCAGTTCCATGAACTTCTCCCAGTGGTAAATCACATCTTTCAACTCTTTAGTTGACATATGGTCATCACTTTAAATTTCCTCCTCACCACTGTCAACCTCTAACATCTCATCCAGTTGCTTCAAGTCATCAGGAGTAAGTTCCTCCTCATGAGACATCACAAGCTCTTCGACATCATCCTCTTCCACTTCAAGGCCCAATGACTGACCAATGGACACAATCTCCTGGTCCAACTCTGTTTCTTCCTCAAATCCCTCAAAATCATGGACTACTGATGGCCACAGTGCTTTCCATGAAGAATTGAGGGGTCTAGTGGAGACTTCTTGCCATAATGACGCAATCAATTTTACAGCCTCCAGGATGTTGAATTGTGTCTTCCAGAACTGTTTCAGTGTTAGTTCAGGATCATTGGAAGTTGCCTGATGACACCCCCTGAATATTTTCTTCATGTACAACTTCTTGAAGTTGCTGATCACATTCTGGTCCATTGGCTGTATGATTGGTGTAGTGTTGGGAGGCAAAAACAACACTTAACAAAGTCAAATTGATACTCCAAAGTTCTGGCAAGTTCAGGGTCACGACCAGGAGCATTATCCGTGAGGAGACGAGCCTTTAAAGGGAGTTTATTGGTGGTTAGGTAGCTCTTGACAGAAAGGCAAAACACATCAACAGCCCATTCATTAAAGAGCTGTCTTGTCACCCATGCCTTACGGTTGGACTTCCAATAAACTCCAAGCTTTGTTCTTACCACTTTCTGTTGCTTGAACACCCTGGGGTTTTCAGAGTGGTAGACAAGCATAGGCTTCAGTTGGAAATCCCCTGAAGCATTGGCACCAAGCAATAGAGTGAGATGGTCTTTCATGGGTTTATTCCCAGGTAAAGAGGCTTCATCTCTGGTGATGAATGTTCTTTTGGGCATCTTTTTCCAGAACGGCCTAGTTTCATTCACATTGAACACTTGCTGTGGAAGATAATTTTCTTCCATCAGTTCTTTAAAATCCACTAAAAACTTTGCTGCCCCTTCCTTATCAGCACTAGCAGCTTCGCCATGCCTAACAACACTGAAAATGTCACTTCTTTTCTTAAATTTTTCGAACCAGCCTTTGATGGCCCGAAAATCTTCAAATTCTGAGCCTGAAGAACCAGGTTGATCTGTCTTTAAATGTTCGTAAATCTCCCTGGCTTTTTCACAAATGAATTCAGTAGAAACTGAATCACCTATCATCTGTTTTTCCATAATCCAGATGAGAAGCAACCTCTCAGTTTCTGCAATTAGGGATCTACTTTTAAACACTCTGGTAGATTTGTCTCTCACTTTCACTTCTTTAAATTTGTCTTTCTGTGCAAGAATTGTCGACACAGTTGATGTCGACATGCCATATTCTTTGCATAACGCATTTGTTCTAATGCCTTGTTCATGTTTTTTTTATAATTTCCTGCTTCGTTTGGATTGAAATCGATTTTCTTGATCTCTTAGGCCCCATGCTGGATTCAAACAATGTCAACACGTGATTTTTTAAGTTTAAACTAGCTGTAAATAAAGAATATTTTCTTTAAAATAACACTGCACTGTGCTATATATTGTCAATATGTAAAATAAATTTCAAAATGACCAATAATTTGCTTGGAAACACAGAAAAAAAGCATTAAGTTGAAGAGTCTCAAGCAAGATGTTACCTCCACTGAAAACAGAGAGACTAACGCCTGTTTGCTGTGTTAAGAGGCTGGATGCCGCGCATTAAACTAGTCACTTTACCTTCAATTATGTTCAATAATCGTTAAAATGACTAAAAAATTGAATATTAAACTTTTAAAATTATTGAATAGTATAAACTTCTTGATATTTACTAAAATAGTAAGGAATTTAAACCCTAGAACCGATTAATGTATTGGCGGACTGATACTAAAGCTGGTTGCCCGGTCAGTGCAAGCGAAAACATGTTGAGGTCGGTTCGTAAGAAATTCGTTAACTGAATTTTTGTTCGTTAACCGAATTGAAGATCCTTATGGAAGGCAGTTCGTTAACCGAGGCGTTCGTTAAACGAGGGGTCACTGTACTTTATCTATAAATCAAAATATGATGCAAACTTTTTTTTTGTAACTTCAGATTCTTATAAATATTATCTTTGTAAATTGAGGACTGCCTGTATATTGTACTGTACATTCTTCATATAAGTTTTCTGAATTCTTTATTAACAATTTAAAATGTTGAATTGTCATTTTCTTACCTTAAATTTATGCTGCTGAATGAGGGATATTGCAGCATAGAGTCTACACCTAGAGACAATAAGGGGATCTCCTAGGCGAAATGCAATGTCCAACTGCTGCAAAGATATTGTCCCTGCTCGTTCTGCAAACTGTGCACTGTAATCTCCAAGTGCCGAACATGCACCACCCAGTGTGGAGAGCCAAGACATTATAGTATTAAGATGTTGCTTCTCTTGAACTGAACGTTTCATTATATTACACCATTCATAATCAATGATATAAGGCATAGAATCTTCCAAAGTCCACCTTATGATTAAATGCTCTTTATGTTCGTTTATCATATCTAGAGAATATTTCTGCTTAAACTTTAATAGCCATTGTTGATATACTGACAATCTATATATATTTGAAATTTTTAATTCTTTTAAAAACAATGAAAAGTGTAGCCCTTCACTCTTGCATTTCAGCTGAGGAATCCCTTTAAAAGAGTTTTTAATGCTCAATTTTTTCATTCCCTTTTCAATACACTCAATATTAAGAATCTCATTCATATTATAATTTAAATGACACTTCTGGCTACAATTCAATATGGACATATGACAAGATTCTTTTCCATGGCAATCATCTTCAAATATCCATGTTGATTGTGTTGTGCTGTGAGTTACAGCAACACTTGAAGCTACAATCAACTTGTCCCAGTGTGAAGTACCAGCAAACACCACCATATGTACGACACCTGCCATCTTTGGATCCTGTTGATAAAGTACACTGTATAAATTGCTGTGTTTATATCAAAGATAAATTTTATAATTGGTGGATTGCCAATGGTATCTAATGACCTGTGCATAAATTTAGGATATTTATACATTACCTAGCTACTAAAGAAACCACTCCTCCTTCCTGGTTAAATGTCTTTTGAATAGTTTCTTTAGCCATTACTGGGAAGTAAAATTATTCAGTCCCCTAATAATGTAACAAATCAGTTTTGAAGAACAGGTTGGGACCAAGCACATTCTCTTAAATCAAGTTTTTCCCAAGACTCAGTATTCAGTGGGGTCTCATTTTGCATGGGTATATCGTACTAATCCGCACATTGGAAATCTGCGCAAGCAATGCTCTTGAACATGAGTTAAAATCACTTCAGTAAATCCTTGAAAGTCTAGACCTCGTAAGTGCGGATCGTTTCAGGGAAAGAAACATTTGTTCAAACCTTATATATTTGTCGTTTGAAATTCCCGCCAAGCGCGGTCATTTGAAATTCAACCAACAAGCAATCCCTTGGCCTCTTTCTTCTTTCAGACTTGTGCGTAAACAGTTCATTCCCCTACTCGTAGAATGGAGTTGTCCATAATGCTGCACTGTGATTGGTTAGGTATAAGTTCAACACACATTCAGCCACAGAAAAATGGTAAGATTTTAGGTAAAATAATTCGAACAATAGTGATGATAATCCTCCCGGGAAGAGCGCAGAATATGAGCACACACACACACACACACCTAGCCCAGTCCATCAGTCTTCATTAATTTTAAGTCAAATTACAAATTAAAAAAAGGTGTTGCCAAGTAGTCCTCAACAGCTGATCTTCAGCCCACCACCATGCAGTCATGGACTTGTGCATCCGTTAACCACACACAAATTTATGTCATACAATACTGTAAGACCTACACTTAATATAATATCATAAAACCAAGCACTAAACCAGCAATACATCACAACAGCAGTTGTCACCCTCATTCTGGATGCATTGCTCTGTTAATTCCCATGTTGGGGTGTATGGATGGTGTTGGAAAGAGTGTGAGTGTGATGTTGGGGTGTGTGGTTGGTGTTGGGGTGTGTGGTTGGTGTTGGGGTGTGTGGTTGGTGTTGGGGTGTGTGGTTGGTGTTGGGGTGTGTGGTTGGTGTTGGGGTGTGTGGTTGGTGTTGGGGTGTGTGGTTGGTGTTGGGGTGTGTGGGTGGTGTTGGGGTGTGTGGTTGGTGTTGGGGTGTGTGGTTGGTGTTGGGGTGTGTGGTTGGTGTTGGGGTGTGTGGTTGGTGTTGGGGTGTGTGGTTGGTGTTGGGGTGTGTGGGTGGTGTTGGGATGTCAGAAGGGGAGGGGGGAGCTAATTAGTGGCTGCTTAGTGCACAGTGGCCCCCAGAACACCGAAAAAAAAAATTGGTAAAAGTGCGGACAATCAACAAATCCGCACCCCCCTTTACCCCAAAATTGTCCGTACTTTCGAGGGTTTACTGTCCAGTATATTGTACCAGACTTGCCAGACCTTTACTCTAGAACGACTTTGAGTAACCAACTTAACTTTACCAAAAGGACACATAATATCACATAAGCTGTACAGTAGGGAGTGACAGTTTGGCAAAAGTTTTCAAAATCTAATTGCTTGGGTTGGATTATTTGTCTATCGGCCACGCTAATTCCGAATATGTTTGAGTTTTTTACATCATTGCATTAGAAGGTTTGTGGATACTTTTGGGTTTGGCATGAAAAACGCGAAAAAACTGTAAATAATAAAGGGACTGGCAATGTGGCACAACCTGTTAAAATCAAATTATTGAATTGGATTATTCGACTACTGTGTACACTGGTTCATAATATGCTATTGTTTTACAACTCAATGCGCTACAAATTATGCCGATATTTTTGCTGCAAGTCACCACATACGTATATTTCGAAAACCAGGGCCCAATATTACCAACGGCGTGGATAGATTCCGTGGAATGAATTCAGGACATTCCCGCTCATGGAACATTACCAAACTCCGTATATGTGCCAATGGCAGGCCAATGGCAATATTTACAGAGTTTGTTGAGGCTCCCTGGACGGGAATGCCCTGAATTTATTCCACGGAATCTATTCACGCCGTTGGTAATATTCGTCCCAGGACTGATCAACGAATTCAGCCCAAGTAGCTTGACTTGGACAGTTAAGGACAAAATCTCAGTCCGTACTTTTGAATAAAATATTGTTCAATAGGTGGTGATATTGAAGTGCTGAAAGTTGTTTTTTCTGTGTTGTTTTGCAGTTAGTTCAAAGGGCCGCCACCAAGATGGGTCGTCCTAAGATTAGCAACACTCAGCTGCGCCAGGGTAACGATAAGGTGTTCGGGGTTCGGATGCCTCTGCCATCTAACAAGTTGCCTCTGAACAAGGAAGTTGGAAGTGCCCTGGCTTATGAAGCAGAAAACGAGAGGTTAAGGAGAAGAACAAATGCTTTTGATTATATGGATGCCACCAACAAGGTGACTGAGAAGGTACTGGATGTGTATAGGAAGGCCACTGTCCCCACTATCTCTGAAATCAGGGTGAAAATGAGAGTCCACGACCTGTGGAGGATGCGGAGGGAGACGATGATGATGAAGGGAAATGGACAGAAACAGAAAAGGAAGAAAACGAAGAACGGGAAGCTGAAGATGAGGTTCGAGGATATAGCTGAGAAGTTGTTTGATGTGGCAGACGACAGCAAAGTGCACGAACGAGAGAAAAGCTTCCTGGCAGCCCAGAGGAAACCGGGAAGGGAGGGCTGCATTGATGGCGTTGACAAAATTGTGACTGCCAAGCTGAAAGAAGAGAGGGAGAAGGAAGCGAAGAGGGCAAAGAAAAGGGCTGAGGAAGAGAGGAAAACTGAGAAGATGAGGTCAAAGAGTAAGGAGGAGATGGAGAGGATGTCGTGTAAAGTGTCGGCAGTGGATGACAGTGCTCAGGAAGAAGATAGTGATTATAAGGATGTCAATGACAATGAGTTCAAGGCTATGGTCGACAGGAGAGCAAGATCAGAGAAAAGGAAAAGGGAGAAAGAAGCCGAGGACAGGATCGGAGAAACTGCTGACAGGTTCAAGGTATCCAATGATGCAGTGGCTCACATCGCAAACACCATCAGAGCTGCAGACAACATCATAACTGAAGGGGACAAGTCTAAAGTGACTAACTGGAAGAAAGTGGAGAGAGTCAGGAAGAAGTCACGAGAACAGAAAAAAGAAAAGTTCAGGGGATTCAAGGTCAGAGGTCTCATGGTAGATGAGAGGATCAATGAGAACAAGATAGTGACTGGTGTAGGTGAGAAGAACCACAAGAGATTCGCCATGGAAAAGAGGGAAGACTGTGCAGTGATCGGCTTCCCTGGTGAGGAGTTCCTTGGTCACCTGGTCCCGGTGGGGGGAAAGGGGGTAGACCTGGCCACCAGCCTGCTGGCCTTCCTGGAGGAGCGCGGTATTGACACCACCGACCTCCTGGTTGTCCTTAGCGACGGTTGCAACAAACTGAGTGGCTATAATCACGGTTTCATCGCCGAGTTTGAAAGGCTGTTGGGACGGCCTCTCCTCCACATCCACTGCCTGATCCACAGTCTGGAGAAGCTCTTCGGCCTTCTATTCAACCATTACGCTGGCCCAACCACTGGTCCCGCCTCCTGGAGTGGTGAGGAGGCTCGGAAGCTGACCGGCAACGTGTGGGACCTTCCGGTGGTTGAATTCGAGGCCGTCACCAACACCTACCTCAGGTCTTTCCTGGATGCCATCCCCTCCGTCGTCTGGGAGGAGTTCAGCTGGGACACCCGGTATCTGTTGGAGATGGCCAAGACGGTGGAGTCCGGCCACATTGAGGAGAGATGGGCCAGGGCACGGGCCGGAGCCATGACCAACGCCAGATGGCAAAACACGGAGAGCAGGGAGCTGAGGGCCTACATGAGCACCACCTCCCCCAGCGAGTCACAGAGACGGATGACCTCCTTCATCATCCTTATCTACGTGCCCTCCTTCCTGGAGATCAGGCAGAGGAATCTGCTACTGGAGGGCCCACGCCACCTCCTCGCCATCATCAACCGGGTGAGGACGTACTGCACCCTGGAGGAAGTGGAGCTGCTTACTCCATACCTCCAGTTCAACGGCTACTTCGGCCAGCACGAGGTGGTGCTGGTCTCACTGCTGGCCTCCATGGACAAGAGTGAGAGGGAGTTGGCCCTAAACATCATCAAGCAGCTGAGGAAGAAGGAAAAAAGGCACAAGAGAAAGACAGTGAGGAAAGTGAGGAACCCTCAACTGAATCTGGCAGCCACCAAGCTGTCAGAGTTGGTTGATCTGCAGAAGGCCAGCTCCTCCCCTCCCATCCTGTTCCAGCACAGTGACCAGGAACTGGAGCAATTTCTGGAGGAACCGTACAGTGAGCCAGGTCTGCCCTGCACCACCACCGCAGTGGAAAGAGGAGTGAAGCTCACCACGGAGGCGGCAGACGTGGCCAGCTCTGCCTGGCAGCAGGACCAGGTCACCTGGAACAAGCTGGAGGCCAGGAAGAGAAACAAGCGGAGGGCTAAGAAAGAGGACTACCAGTGCTAGACTGTGGGGACACTGGGACTGAGGGACACTGTGGGGACAGCCAATGTTAGTGTGCCAACTGTGCTAGTGTGCTGCTGATAAATTGAAGCATACATGCCAATAATAAAGAATGTCTACCATTATTCTTGTTTTTTTTTATGTCGAACCGAAAAGTATCCACAAACCTTCTAATGCACTGATGTTAAAGATTCAAACATATTCGGAACCAGCGTGGCCGATAGACAAATAATCCAACCCAAGCCACTTGATTTTGAAAACTTTTGCCAAACTGTCACTCCCTACTGTACAGTATCTTCATTATTAAATAAATATTGTACTAAAGCCCAGGAAATTAATTAAGCGATACTCCACCAGTGCCACCAAATAGTGGAACTGTGGGAAGCTCTGAGAGACAATGGGGGTCCAAGGCAGGGGGTGAAGGCTAGTCAGATTCAAAGCCTTCAAAATTAACTGCAGACACTTGTAAAGCGACTTCAGCTTCATCACCATTCTCCAGAGCAGCAGGATCATAGTCACTGGATTCTCCTTGAATTATTGAGGCATAAAATAGGCGGTGATGAAAGCTTGGCATTGGCGTTTAAACTCCAGGTGATATTGCCTGTAGGGTTCCACCAAACTGTTGAACTGTGCTCCGAATTCATCACTGTGTTGCAGGTTGGGCTCAGCACTCACTAAAGCATCCTTGAGTTCTTCAAAGTTGCTGAGAACTTGAGTCACCTGCTGCTGCCCCGTATCAGGCAGACATGCTTACAGAGCTCCAACAAGACCCCCAACGGCGGTATAGGCGGAAACCCAACGACTACACCAGCGGACGAAAGCAATGCCTGATGGACAAGCTACTAAGGCGAAACCCAACAAACTGGGCTATTGGCAGTCCATTGCAAGTCTCCCTCTCCCCATTTGTTGCAACACTTGCACCACTGGATGTATACACACTACACCATATTCATTAAATATATCTCTCCTTTCCCGATAAAAGCGTTGCCGCCTTACTCAGTATCATCCAAACAACATCTCCTGAAAATTTGGTGTAATTCCATCAAGTCCTTTTGGTGCCAACCGTCTGATCCACCATTACCAATTTCGGTAGTGTCTGAGAACAGCACAACCATCAGAAGTTGTTTGATTTTGTTAATTTTTTCCATAGATATCCTTGGATAATAATAAGTAATAAAAAGAATACAACAATGCACAGAACCTAACCTAACCAACCAAAGAAAAATAGCCGGGGAGCAGACCTCTCGCCATATCAAGCAGGAAGTACTTATTTTGATATTTGCTACTAATGAAAGCAATGTTGTAGAAGAGTCATGGTGTAATTTTACATTTATTTGTGAACGTGAGAGTACACTTGTGGCCGAGCGAGTCGGTTGCAAATAAGCAGACAACACAGTGACTCAGAAGATTTTTTGGATTATTTACGGTAGATAATTAATTTCTTCACGTACAAAGCACATAAAGACATCAGTTTAGTGTCATATGATCAATTTTCCCCATGTTTTACCCCACAATTCCCCCGATCCTCCATGCCCTGCTTACTACAGGTGATTTATGATCGTAGATAGAGAAAAAACTAAAAAATTAAAAAATGGTTAATATTTAGAAGTTGCCAACACCTATTTATATATCGAGTCTCAAACAGGGTGAAAGAGGGGAAAAAACTACAATTACTTTATTCTTAGCATTTCCGTCAGAAATGTATTTTTCCGATGGAAATGCTAGAAAATATTTTTTTTCTCTTTCTCCCTATATAGGACTCAATACATAAGTAGGTGTTGGCAACTTCTAAATATTTTCCCCCAAAATAATTATAATTAAAATAAAAAAGTGTTGCCTCTTTTAAAATACTTACTACAATGATTAAGACATCTGTAGAAGAACATGAACAAAATCAAACAACTCATTTTGGTAGTACTGTACTGTACAGTAGTGCTGTTCTCAGAAATTACCCCAATTGCAGATGTAAGTGATAATACAAAAAACGTATTATACTGAACTGTACTTACGCATTTCGTAAATATTCACTTGTTGCCACTCTATGAAATCTAAGTGGAAACTATATTTTTCCAACAGTTTTTGATGTGTTATGAACAAATAGCGAATTTGACCTTCATTTCTGGTGAAAATCAATAATTTCTGAGATAAGCCCGCCCCCCTCTAATCTCAGAATCTAGACATTTGCTATAAAAATCAAGGTCAAAAGAGTTAAAAACACATAAAAACCATCATAAAAACAATTTTGAATCAACCTAACCTAACCGAGGGAGCTCTACAGCTGTTTCAAGTTCTGGTTGTGTTCCGGCACGTTGTTTGTTGTTCTGGGTGAGTACCGCCACTTACGAACATATATAATAATATGATAAATATCTCACTAAAACGTAATTTGCACCAAGAATGCCATTGAAGAAAAGTGTCTTAGAATTGCCAAAACTACCGATTGCAAATACAGTATAAATTTCCTGAGATTCGTTTGGTGGCAACAAATGAAAGGACAATTTTCATACATAATAAAATGTTAAATATCCACTCATACATAATTTGTGTCAGAAATTACATTGAAGAAAAGTATTTTAGAATTGTCAAAACTAATAATTACAACTATAAAATTCCCAAGATTTGTTTAGTGGCAACAAGTGAAATATGACCACTCATTTTTTGTTAGTTTCATGAGGTAAGAAAGCATTATTGATCTAAAAGAAATTTCTTAAAGTCGTCACAAATTACTGAAATTTTAAGTATTACTGTACTTAGGATGTCTAGGGGTAAAAATATCTTTTCAGTCATCCAGAGATTTTTAGGATTTTAAGTTTTGAAATCAATAGTTTATACAATTCTATAGCATTTCTTCTGCTCATGATTACTTTCAGAGAAAAAATAATAATAATTGGGTTTTGGGTGGGGGGAAAATAAAATAAAATAGTAAATTTGCGATAAAAATTAAGGTCAGAATAATCCTAAACCTAACCTATTTCAACCTAACCAAACCTAACCCTAAACCTTACCATAATTAGACTCAGAGTTGGGTTCATGAGATCCTCCTCATCATACACAAGTCGCACTGTCTGGCCGCTCTTTCTCTGACTGTAGGGGGATCTGCCAGGGGCCTATACTGAGCTGTGATTGGTTGATCCAAAATTATACCCACCAATCAAAGTCCAAAGACTCTAGCACATGCATAATACAGCATAGTAACCAATAAAGAAATAAACAAGCACACAGGAGCTCACTCAGACAGTGGTAACATCAGCAAGAACTTGGAAAAAAATACGACGATTATCAAACAATTTATTACGATTTTCTCGGAAGTAATCACAAGCGGAAGAAATGCTATACTGTAGAAGTAAAGGGTCTTAGAATTGTCTAAACTACTGATTCCTAAACTTAAAATCCTAAAAATTGCTGGATGACTGAAACGATATTAATACCAGACTAGGTAGCTGAACCTAACAAATCCACCCTAGTTTTTTTATATTATTTTAGTTTCAGCCCCAACTCGGTTAGAGCAATTTTGTGTTTACCATTAGTTATATCTCATCAAGAGGAACAACTTTTTCCAATACCACTTCCGTCGCAAATGGATATTAACTGAGTAAATTCACGTAAGAAATTAAAGTAAATCGTCTGTTTGTTTACAACTGACCCACTCGATTTGAGCATACTTTCATGTCCACAAAAAACGTAAAATTACACCATGATGCTTCAACAAAGCTGCTTTCATTTGTACCAGATATCAAAATACATCATTAATATTTAGTAGTTGCCACCACCTAATTGATTATTGAGTCATATACTGTATGGGGAGATAGATAAAAAAAATTTAATTCTATTACGTTTCCGTCGTAAATTTATAGTTTTTGAGTTATTTTAACTTCAATTTTTTAATACTTGGCCAATCAGTGTGTGTTGATGGGATGCCATAGTTGTCCGCGCCGATTAGCGTGAAGAGACGGACACTGACGAAGACACCACTTCCTCATTCAAGTCCCATCACTCTATCCTCTGTATCTCTTACTTAAGGTAGTTTCTTGCACTAGGGGTTAGGTTAGATTAGGTAAGTTTTTTTTTTAGGTCTTTAAATTGTTCGACCTTCCACATTTGTTCAATACCTCAACTACTGCTCATTTCCGATGGCAATGAAGGTAATATTTGTATTTAACACAAAGATTTACACGATAAAAACCCATTTTCAAAAGTCCATTAGGTGGTGGCAAATTGGCAACTACTAAATATTTGCCAAATAAGTATTTTCTGTCTAATATGGTGGAGATGGCTAGAAAGTTATGTAAGGTTAGGTAGGTTTCTTTGGTTGGTTAGGAAAGTTAGGTAGGTTTCTTTGGTTGGTTAGGTAAAGTTAGGTAGGTTTCTTTGGTTGGTTAGGTCAGGTTCTATAGGGGAGTGATAACTCCAAAACGACTCATTTCCGACAGAAATGTAAGGCAAATTAGAATGAATCACACCAAATACCAAGGGAAAAAAAAAATCTATGGTCGAACAGCAGTTGTGGTTGAAACTGTAAATTTACCTTTTTTTTTTCTATAGAGTCAGGCCAGTAGTTAAGACATGGAGGATTCATATCTAACTGCCTCATCGAATGATATTCCTGTATCTATTCAAGCATGAAATGTTCTGTAAATAAAATAACCCCATAAAAGGATAGTTTTTTGGCGCTCACACAATAAACACTCACCGTATGAGCGTCCGCCCTACCCTAACATCATATTAAACTGAATACCTAAATAAACTCCATAAGCCACATCTTCAGAAAAATACATGGTAATTATATAGGACTAACCCGTGAGCGAAATTGATTGAAAACAATTATAAAAACGTCGGATTTTCATTGTCATATTATAGTAGACACTGTTATAGTTTGTGGAAATGTTAAAAAATTTAAAATTTTTAAAATAAACGCTACTTAACATTCGTGGGTATGAAGAACAGACCTAACCAAACAAACCTACCTATCCTTACCTAACCTCCCCGGTATATTAAACAGAAAGAACTTACTATGATATGGTGAAATTTGAGGAATTTTCTGGACATGAGATGAAACGGTCGCATCGGTGCTATGCAGCCCCTGGTGGGTTAGTCCTATATATGAACCAAAAACATACTTATAACATGATATAATATAATACTACTATAACTTTTTAAGATGGAGATGAAAGACAAGGCGCGGTGTTGAGTACGTCAAGACAGTGTTATGATCAGTGACGTCACGCCACTCGCTGTGCCACACACCGACAATTCCTTATTTACAAAAACAATCTCTCTCTAGTTTGCAATAAATAAAAGTAATACAAATAAATATAATGGTAAATGAGACACTATATTTTTAAGCAGATGTGTACATTCAATTAAATCCCACAAATAAAGTTTTTCGTGACAGGTACTAAGTAGTAGGCATGTAGCATACTGTAAGTGGCCAGTTGTCAATTCTCTTTAGTTGTCTATTTTCTCTTTGTATGGGCACACAAACGTACGTACATGTACATATCTCACACTCAGGAATGAGGTAGAATAGAAACTCACAATGCGCTTTCTGTATATATATTGTTGTACAGTGCAGTGCTTAGGAGTGACTAGGTGAGGAGTAGCTTGCTCAGAGGTCCTGTAGGGCGAGGAGGTTTCTGAGGAAGCTGAGTGGTGAGGTGCTGTTGAGAGATGATGCTGGTCCGGTAGTCAAGTGTAGGAAGAATTCCCCGGTTGTTGTTGTTGTTGTTGTTGAGATGTCGGACCGTAGTCCGACACGGGCCTTTGCCTATAGGCGGCCCGTTTGGTGGTTCCGGCTGGAGCTCCTGGAGCAGCCAGACCGGATTGGGATTGGAGGTGGTCCTGTGGGTTATGGGATGTTTGGGTTCACACTCAGGATGGGATGAAGAAAGGAAACTCACAATGTGCTCTCTGTATACATGTTGTATTGGATGTACAATGCAGCTTGGTGCTGGGAAGTGGCAGCGTGGTTACAAGCGTGATGTAGAAAGAGCTGGCTGGTGAGGGTGCTCAGAGGAGGACAGCTTGTGGGTCGCCATGCTCGCCGGCGGGAGCGAGGGCCGCCAGGCAGCGGCGGAGGAGGTGGTGTAGCTTGCTGCGGCTGTAGCTAGAAGAAGAGAGAGGTCACCACGAGGTCAGGTCTTAAATAGCGGAGGTAGGCGTGGCTTAGTAGTTGACCTCCGTGATGTATGGCGGCGCTGGTTGATCCAGACCACGAGGCATACACTGGGGAATTCGCGGGGTCGGCTACTCAGCGACAAACAGCGTTTGTAGGGGAGAAATCCACTACAGTCCTACCTGCAGATTGGAAGGATACTGCAGGTTGCAAGTATGAGCGGACCCCCGATCAGTGGACGCTTACCACCAACCCCCCACTCTTGGACGTGGTCAGTTTTGGAGTGGCGCGCCCCCCGAACTGGGGTCCGCACTTGCTGGGAGAGGATACTTTCTAAGCTATCTGGGTGGTGGGTATCGTGTGATGACCTGGAAAAGGTTGTGAATGTGGTTTGTTTGGGCCTTTCGGGTTAGAGTGGCCGCTGGTGTTGTGTGTGCTCCTTGGGAGTTTTGAGTTCTGTTTCGGAGGCTTTGTGTGACTTCGCAGTCAAAGAGATAGTGTTCAAGTGGGTTGGCTGCTGGCTTCTGACAGTAGGTGCATTCCATGACGTCATTTCCGATCATCTGCCAGGAGCACTTGCACCCTAGTCGTAATCAATGAAGGCTAACTTGGGTTTGTCTTGGTGTTTTCTTGTCTGCGAAAGGTGGTTCCCCTTTTGTAGCCGCCATGTACCATTTGGCTGATTGGGAACCAGCGTTGAATGCGTGAAGGAAGCTCTTTTGGATGTGGAGCTTGCTAGTCTTTCTGAGGTGATTCTTGATCTGTTGCACACTTGCTGGAACTTGAATGTGTACGCTACTAGAACGTGTGGCTGCCTTGGCTGCTTCGTCTGCCACGTCGTTTCCCCCAACCCCTACATGACTGAGAATCCAGTGTAGGACGACTGGGCGGTTTTGTCTTTGGAATTCCTGTAGCTGTGCGAGGATCGAGGTTATGATGTGGACGTTGTCTCTTGGTTGACTGTGTTGCAGCGCCTGCATGGCCGATTTCGAGTCCGTGTGAATTATGATGGACTTGTTGTGTTGTGTTGCAGCGTGTTGTAGGGCCTTTGAGATTGCTACTAGCTCTGTTTGTAGGGTGGAGCAGTCAGAAGAAAGTCTCCATCCGAGGGTCTGACCTTGAGTGTAGAAGGCCGCTCCGGATGTATGATGTTTTGGATCCACCGAGCCGTCTGTGAAGTATGATGCTGCATCAGCCGGTGTCTCGGTGGCTATGGCTTCCAGAGTTATTTTTTTGAGGTCCTCCTTCTGGAGGCTGGCTTTGCTATCACCTAGTTCCCCGGTCAGCCGGGGCCGTATTTATGTGATTTAGGAAACTCAGGATATGAGGTGCTCGTAGCGCGAGGGCCAATCACGGTGGCTTAAGCGTAAGGTGTGAAACGCTCTGATCCTGAGCTGGAGGTTGAAGGTCGAGACTAGGTCGGCGATCGTACCCCTACGTCCACTGCATAGACCTAGTCTCTCGGCGTAGCTGGCTGCCCCCCTCTGGGCGCTTGTGGTAGAAGCGGTACCGCTCTTGCCTCGCAAGCAAGATGTCACGGGTTCGATTCCCGGGCAAGTGGAAGTTGTTTGGACACTCTTCCTAGCCCCCTTGGTCCCTGTTCACCAAGCAGTAAAGTAGGTACCTGTTGTAAATTGAAAGTTTGCGAAATCGTATTCAGGGAAAGTTGTTGGAGCTTCTAAACTTGAACTAACACAATCCGGAGGAGTGGTGACCCGAGGATCACACACCCAACACAGACAAAACCAAATACGTGCGCTATGCGCTAACCACATAAACGCAGTCGTGTAATGCCACGGCACTATCTCTCCCACCACAATTCCCTTCCTAACCTCCTGCTCCTTCCTCTGTCATCTTCCCCGCTCTGACTTTCGCTACCAACAACTTTTGGAGCTTCTAAACTTGAACTAAGCTGCCCCCCTGTACACAAACCCTCTCCCTCAAAGAATGGGACCAGGAATGCACAATACCTGCAAAAGCCCTCCATGCAAATTGCAGAAGACCTTTACAAGCCAAAAGGAAAAAGAAAGAAAGCAATAACCCAACCCTGCCAACCACTAATAAAACCTACAATCCTCCCAAAAGAAAAACTTAACCCATCCAATCTTACTCACAATTCCTCCTCCAAAAAAAATATTAACTCAACTTATCCAACCACTAATCAACTCCAACAATCCTCCCAAAACAAAAACTTAATATACCCGACCTTTCTAACAACCCCCTTCGACCCCCCCATTAATAAAAAAAAAAATGTACATTTAACTCAATACAACTATTCATTAGCCACACAAATCATATCACCCCTAAGAAATCCTACCATACTATAAATTAACCTTACAACCTCCAAAGCCCCTCTCCTCCCCCCAAAAAAATCCTCCCAACAACTCACCATACCTGACCTTACAACAATTATCCTCCCTTCCCTCACCCCTTACTATATTGACACACACACACAACAACCCCTTAAGCAATCCCAACTCGGCACAAATCAACATACCACCTCCACCACCAACCAATCCCCAAATACAAACTCCCCACCCCCAACAACCAATCTGCAAACATAACCCCCACCCCCAAACAAAGCCCTACTTAATACAACAACTCTCCAGAACCAAATCAAACATACCCAACCTCTGTGACAGCCACTCTCAACAAAATCGACCTAACTCAAGACTGAAACCAATCAACCTATATCTCATTCTCATCTCCGTTTATAATTTGACAAAAAAGCTCAAATGTGTCTCCTGCTATTACTAAAAACTCTCCTACGATACGCTCATCCTTCCTTACTACGAATACTTTGACATTTCAAGCTCAAAGATTCAAAACCCTTCCTCCAACTCGCTCCGTTCCTCTTTAACATAGCTCAAAGACTTTACCTTCATCTTTCTCCAAACAACCCTACAACTAGCTACATTTCCATTTTTCACCTACTCTGTTACTTTGATCGTGTGTGCCTGTGCGTCCGTCTACCTGCGCTTCTCGGCTTGCGCCACCGCCGTGGCGGGGCGGTTCTTCCTCTGCTTTGCCAACACTGCCTAAGCTAAGACGACAACCAGAGCACCCGCAATGGCCCTTTGCCTGCCCGGTCCTGCTCCCGCCCTCCCTCTGCCTCGTCCTGATTGTGATTGTTACACCATCAGGGCACATTGCCTACCCCCTCACGCAAGCGGTGTTTAGCCACTGCACCTATTCTCTCCTTCTAAAATTCACTTCTATCCTCCCTTTATCCTTCCCCTGAACCTCTTTCCCCCCTGTCACTAGCTTTTATGTATATGTATGCTGCCCCGCAGGTGACTCTCTAACCCTCTCTCACCATGAACGGTTACAAGTTTGATAACGTGGCGCAGATACGTCCGGATACGCCGACCTGCCCCAAGAAATTAAACCTCCTAGTTCTCAAGAAGTTCTTTGAAACTAATGAGATCATGGGGGTCACCAAGGTGGAGCGACTGAAGCTCCATGGTGACATCAAGATCACCTTCGCCGAGAAGGGTATGCCCGTACAGCTCGCGGAGATCCCAGACATCAACGGCATTCCATTTAAAATGATTGCCTACAAGTGGGACAACCTGAAGCTGGGAGTAATCTCCCACGCCGAAATTGCCCACGTGGACCAAGCAGAGCTGAGTGAGCTCCTCAAGGGGCAACTCCAAGTTGTGAAGAAGCTGTCCGAAACCACTGCCCTCATCGGACACCATACAACCTTACCCAAGGAGGCTCAACTGGCGTGGGTAACTGTGCCAGTCAAGCCTTACTGCAGACCGAAACGCTGTTACAAATGCCAGCACTATGGACACACTGTCAACAAGTGTGAGGCGCAGGAGGACACCTGCTCCCTGTGCAG